TTTGGCGTTTTAAGCGATGGGTTGCGAGCGCTTTTTATTTCTTTTTGTTTTGTTTTGTTTTGTTGTTGCGGCGTTAGCGGGCGGCGTGGTTGCAGTGGGTTGCGGGCGGACGTTTTTTATTCCGCGCGGCATTTGCGGTGGCGTTTTTAGTGGTTAGTTGCGGACGTACGTTTTTCTTTTCCATTTATTTTCCGCAGTGTTTGTTGTGGCTTTTTGATGGTGTGCTGCGGCAATCTTTCGTTTTCTTTTTTCCGCGGCGTTTGCGGTGGTGTTTTTGGGGCGTGATGCGGGCGTTTTTTCTTTTTTGTTTTGCGCGGCGTTTGCGGTGGCATTTTTGGCGGTGTGTTGCGGGCGTTTTTCCTTTTTTGTTTCTCGCGGCGTTTGCGGTGGCGTTTTTGGCTGAGGGCGTTTTTCTTCTTTTTTATTTTGCACGGCGTTTGTGAAGGCGTTTTTTTCTCCAATTGCGATCCAAGGAGGCGCATCAGCGCCACCGGCCACTAGCAAAGCAACTGGCTTTGAATACGTAAGCGCCAGCCACAAGGATTGTGAATCAATAAGGGCAAAACTCCAACGCGACAGTTTGGGCCGCCGTTTCGTCAGCTGTGGACGGTATATAAGGCCTTGTTGCAGACACTCGTTACACTCGGTCCGCTCAGGAAAGTCAGCATGTCTCCCGCGCAGCTGTGTCTGCCACTGCTGCTGATGGCGCCACAGCTGATGACGAGCTCAGAGGCTCGGCTGGTACCGGTACTGCCTTGGGGCGACCACGGTAGCAGCACACTGGCCACCCCGGCCGCTGGCAGCTGCGTCCAATGCGGCATGCGTTGCTTGCTCGAGCCAGGCTGCCGTGCCGTTGCCTGCTCCGAACACACCGAGACAGGCACTTGTCAGTTGATTGGGGACAACAAGACCAAGATTTGCGACCCAGACTGGACAGAATTCGAATCGGGCAGAACCTGCTTCATTTTGCAAGCGGATAAGCTGGATTGGAACACATCGAAGACTGCCTGCCGCCAACTGCGCCCTGGCTCGAAGCTAGCCTCGATCCACTCGGAGGAGGAAAATGATTTTGTGAGGCACAATCTCCTGCACGAGAGCGCCTTCATCGGCCTGGAGCACACCGGACCGTCTACTACTCGGGACTTCCGCTGGCTGGACGGTACCCCGTTCGACTTCACCCACTGGCGCGACGATCAGCCCAACGACGTGGCAGAAAACCTCTGTGTGGTGGCTCTGCGAGAGACCGGGCTCTGGCTGGACTATACCGTTAGAGTTGGAATGTTCAACTATGGACGACTTTGCAAGTACACGCCCTAAGTGTAGTGTTAACCCGCGCGGGGCTGGGGGGGGGGGTAAATTTTACCCCCCCCTCGCGAATTTTTGCAATATCTCAAAACTTTCAGTACCTTTTCTTACATCAATTTGACACGTTCCCTGAAAATTTGAGCGAAATCCGTCGGAAAATTTTTGAGAAATTGGCGTTTTAGTGACGTCATGTTCGCCATTTTCGCCTCAAAAACGGCAAAAGTTCAAACGCCGCTAACATCTTCATTTTTAAAGGAATCAAGACGTAACAAAAAAGGATATACGTAATTTTACTTTGTCTATCAAATGGCTATCTCCGTTTTTTGAAAATTTTGGATTTTGGCCCACATTTTTTTCAAAAAACTGACTTTTTTGGGAAAATAATTATAAAATCCAAAATTTTGAGTGTATCGAAAAAACCGGAATACATTTCAGAGAAGTGGTCTATGTGCACATACATACCAAGTTTTAGAAGAATCGGTTCAAAAATGTGGGAGTTATTCAAAATTTTATGACGTAACGACACACAAATTTTTTGAAAAATGACTTTTCTGGAAGTTCTAGACCTCGTACGGAAACAAACATAGCACCATTCGATTCGCCGTGAAAAAACTGCATCAGATAGACACCTTTTTAGGCCTTAACAACCAACTTCAAAATTTGACCTCACTTGACCTGACCTTGACCTGACCTCGACCTGAAATTCATCCAGAGGTGGTCCATATCACTTATTGAATGTGCCTATTGAATTCTATGAGTAAAATGACCCATAAAACATGTATCGCACATGCCCTTTTCTATATTTTTTTTTTTGGTGACCTGACCTGACCTGACCTGACCTTGACCTTGACCTTGACCTCTGAATGATATTGTATGCAACGAATATTGTCTTGGTAGCCTAAGAACACGTTTTGGGCGATCAGTCTCAGTCCATGACTCCATTCTTCGGCAACTACGGTGCAAGGCCGATACTGTAGGAACTTGCAATTTGTACCCTTGACCTGACCTTGACCTTGACCTCAAACTTAAAATTATGTACATGTTTTTAGTTGTTCGTGATGAGATCTTTCGATTGGCGTTTGAATTTTCCAAATCTGACCATTAGTTCGGGAGATAACAGGGGGGTAAAATTTACCCCCCAGCCCCGCGTGTTCGGCTGGAGACCCCAGCCCCGCGCGGGTTAAAACATTACCTACGCATCTAACAAATTGACGAAACCAATTACTTCTTCGGGGATTAAATTTGATCGCCCGTATAGGGGGGGGGGGGTCGAACGGACCCCCCCAAATGGTTTTTCGCGAATAACTCACGTAAAAAGCGGCCGATCGCGACAAAACTTTCAGTACCCTCGCGTTCATCAATTTTACACCTACCCTGAACATTTCATGACCCTGACCCAAATGACCTTTGACCTGTGACCTACTTTTCGAGACCATGTTTGGCTGGAATCGCGATTCGGCGTGTGTCGGCTCGCATTAGCCGCGCGTTTGCAGTCTTTTCGTGGTTTCAAGCGTTCAAACATGTGATGTGATGTTGCCCCCATGCATTAGGGTGGGTGTCAAGGTCACCTGAAGGTCAGGTCAGGTCATTGACCTTTGATGACCTCGGTTCACTTTTTCGAGTTTTACATGTTTCTAGGCCAGTTTTTGGAGCTGAATTCGAATTTAGCAACCATATGAACATTTACGAAGTAGTTTTGGTGCCTTCGTAACATGTTGCGAAGCTGTCAGAGGCGGTTGCCACCTACTACGAATACCCTTACTGGTTGACCTGACCTGACCTGACCCGACCTGGCCTAAATACATGAAGACATCATATGTGATCAAAACCAACATGATATTCGTGATCAGCACCCCGAAAAACCCCATAGCAGCCACACTTTACGACGTTCTAACAGGTCCCGATTTTCCCGCCTTTGGGGTCATTGACCTGACCTGCAAGTTTAACCAATGACCTAGGACCTTAAAATGGGGTATCATCGGCTTCCTCTCGTCACGGGCAACACGCTCGTTTTTTCCGCGAAGCTCTAGCTCGATCAGGGGCGAAACGGCAAGGGGGGGGGGTCCGTTGGACCTCCCCCCCCCCTTATACGTTCGCGGCTGGAAAAACACCAATACGGGCGAGGGTTAACCCGCGCCCCAGTGGCGGTCTCAGCCAAGTTCGCCATAGTGGGGGTGGGGGGGGGGCATATGTTACCACCCACCTCTAACACGAAAACTAAGAGGGCTAGAAAGACGCGGTAAAAGCTGTCGATAGCACTCAACGCGTACGCTTGAAAGTATATCAGTCATTTTTCATCTTAGAGTAATATTGGGGTCACCAGAGGTCATCAAAGGTCAAAATTTGCCAATTTTCATTATATTTTTCAGAAAACATGGCGTTATCCCAGTAACTATGATAGCCAGAAAAACGCATAAAAAAGCAATCGATAGCTTTTAAACTCTTCTTTTGATAAGATTACTATCAAAATTGACGTCAGGTCAACGGTTTAGCCTCCAGAGGGCAAAAACTAAAAAATAGCTGTTTTTACGAAAAGTGTTTTTCGACAATTTTTGACTAAAAAGAGCCACGACATTTATATTTCCCGAATCGTGTTCCTCTCGCCGAAATGCGTCGAATGTTTGACCTTGAAAGGTCAACTTGAAAATTTAACCTCAGGTCAAGGTCATGACCTGACCGGAAAAGGTCATGTTGCATATCAGTCGATGCGTCTCAACAAGACAAACACAATGAGACCATCCCCAGCGTTCTATCTCTTTCCGATCAAGAGTTATTGGAAAAAAGTCTGTGTGTAGCCTCAAATGACCTCGGATGCCCTTTCTAGAGGCCATCAGCAAAAAAAAAGAAACACCTTGGTCGTCACTGGTGGTCCAAATCATTATGATTCTGCAATATTTGGACTGTTCCTATGCGTACGCACGGATCTAGAGGCATTTTCATTTTTCTCCATTGACTTATAATGGTAAGGTCACGCCACTGGCCTGACCTTAGGTCACGGATATTAAAAAAAAAATCCGAGAAATACAAAGTATAGGCGCCCATAACATCATGCAATCCACCACGTTTCTGACAAACACTGCAGGCTGGACATGATTGCAAACTTTTTAGGCTTGGCCAGTTAACTTGACCTGGTGACCTGACGTCCTGACATGCCCTGGGGTGAAAAATTTCACACATTGTCCAAAATTGATGTACAGAAAGCTACTCCAAGCGATGTGGGGCTACGCGCCGCGGTTTTTTATTCATACGCAAAAACGCGACAGGGTGGTAACATATGCCCCTCCCCCCACTGGGGCGAAGGTTACGCCGTTAACCGATATTGATGTAAGTAAAATGCACTTTGCAGCGGTCTTTGGATGAGTGAATACAGGGCTTTCGCAGTTACACGCTTTGGCGCAGCGCTTGTGGTGCGCCCAGGCATCGTGTAAAAATTAGAGTTGATATCCATAGTTGATACGCCTTGGTTGATGCCAGGCATTTGCAGGACGGCAAGTAAAATGATCTGGAATCTTTCCACCATGACTTTGGTTTTTCGTTCTATAAAATCATAGGTACCTACAGCTCTTCAAAGTTCTGTTTTGTCAGAGGTGTCTCTTTTATAGGTATGGCTAGCTAGTGACCACACCTTTTTTGTCAATGGATTAAAATATTTGTTTTTCATTGATTGTAAAGATTGCTTGTGCTTTCAAAATCCATTTGTAAGATATGCATTAGGTACATATATTTAGCAGCCAATACATGTAATAAGCTACTCGCACATTGATTTTTGCTTGAATTGCCGAACAAAACAGGCCACTCAGGCGGCTTCTGCCTCGGTTGCGGCCCCCGATGCTGTTGCCGGCGCCGCGGTAGGGAACTCCATGCTCCCTGTGAACGGCTGCGGCCCCGGCGCGGCGGCAGGCGGCAGCACAGCGGCGGCGAACGGCTGCAGCTCTGACCTCCAGAGCGTGCCGATCAGCACCGCCAACAGCACCATCAGCGCCACTGTGATGCTGAAGAACCAGCGCCACTCCTGCAGCGTCCCCTGGAGGCGGCAGGACGGGCAGACAGCGTGTAGGAGACGGCTGATCGGAGCGAATTCAGTTGAGATATGTGCTCACAGGCACTATGGGTATGCTGCCACGAAAAAACACGCTTTGCGAAAATAGAAATACTTTATAACTCTGAGACTACCAACAAAATACCATCAAATACCTAACATACGGCCTAACCGCGTTACCTAAGTGCTGCAATAAGAAAATATCAAATAAATATGCATCTCTGTTTCGATGCATTGGCCAAGGCCCTCACCTACCACAAACTACCATTCAACAATGTTCAAATGATAAAATCAACCCGTGGCCCACCGGTCGCTGCTCACTCACATTGGGCGTCATCGCGGCGGCGACCAGGGGCACCAGGAAGCCCGGTGTGTTGCCGATCGAGGCGGCGATTCCGCAGATGATGCCCGTGTACTGGGGAGCGAGGTCCCCGGCCGCAGTCACCGGACCTGCCCAACGGGGTCGCAAAACATTGACAGCCTTGTAAGAGCTGATTTTGATTAGGTGGTACGGAATACACTTGGTATGTACCTTCTGTCTCACGCTGACGTGGGTCATCGTGTATTGGTTTTGTGTGTTCCGATGATCATTTTAAGCAAAGCATTGAAGTCATCTAAGCATTCATTCAGTCATACATACAATCAAAAAGATGTCATTCATTCATTCATTCATTCATTCATTCATTCATTCATTCAGGAACGGTTTAGGCCACTTCTTGGTGGAGGTCAGGTCAAGGTCAGGTCAAATTGGGTCAAATTTCAAAGTTGATATTTTTGCATAAAATGTGTATCGATTCGATGCAGCTCGTCACGGGGAGTTCAATGGTGGTCTTTGTTTTGCGCTACGTGCTCTAGAATTGCCAAAATTGAGAAAAAAATTTGACGTCATCAATTTTGAACATTTTTTCCGCTATAACTTGGCCCAAAAAACAGGTTTTGATCTAAAAATTGGTATGTAGATAGAAGAGCGCAGGGACTATCACATATATTCCGGTTTTGTCGAAATTAAAAAAAAAACTTTGGGATTTTTTTTTTTGCGTTTTTCTAATAAAAATGAACTTTTTTAATTTTGGAGGGTCAAAACCTTTTTTTTGAAAATCCGAGATCCAGTTTTATAGCGCCTTTTTCTTCTACACGACCATATAAAGAACTCTGAAATTGCTTAGTAACTGTAGCTCTTGTGAGCGTTTCAAGATTTCATGTCTTTTGCTCATTTTTGCTCGAACATGACCTCAGTTTGACCTCAATAACTCCTGACCTAAGGTGACCTAAGACTTGAAATGTTGTGTGGAGGTGTCCACAGTCACACTGTCCAATTGATGCTCGGTAAGGTACTGAAAATTTGGCGGCGCTGCGCGCCGCCGTTTTCTTGCTATTCAGGAAAAACCACAGAGGGGGGGGGGGGTAAATTGGACCCCCCAGCGGGGCGAGAGTTAAGAAGAAATTACCTGGATGAGTGGTCCGACCTCACCCGACCCGGCCTGACCAAGCCCGTAACACTTTCCGCAGTCTTATGTAACCGCTCGGCCGGTTGATCTATTTGATGCAGCAGCATTCTGCCGTAAACAATAGCCATTAGCCACATCCTTTTAGTATGTTTGATGTGATTTCTTTTTCTTAATTAAGCTTTTTATGTGTATGGATAACTTCCACCGCACGTGACGCGTGCCAAATCGGAGGCATTAAACTTGTGCCACTTACAATAACACCGCAATTATTGGGCCAATTACGCTGAAGCCTGTGTCGCATAGATAGAACGACACCGGGCGATGCATTTTCATGTGCATTTTCATACTCGGTAGAAATGCTTCTGCACATTTGCACATGCTGGGGTCACTTCTTCGCTGTGAGAGTGGCTGGGCCGATTGTGCTCCAATTGGCAACACTCACCGTCACGCTTGACATTTCCAGCAAAAAAAGATTAAACAATGATAGCTAAAATCTAGGAGCTACACTTTTAGCCACTATTTGTCTTAGGATTTCTAAGTTATTCTAGAGTTGCGCAAAATGCTATTTAATTGTTTGATACGCTCGGGTTTAGTGGGTTTTATCAGGTCAAGAAGAATCTACGAGTTGAAAGGGGTTCAGAAATATGGCCAAAGACGATTTCGACTTTGTTGAGAGGATATCGGAAAAAATAAATTACCGTGCTTGTCAGTGTCGCATAAGCAAGAAAGGTTTTGGTTCGTGTTAAATACAACATGGCCATGAGGCTCGAACTCACGACATGACACTCAGCGCACGCAGACCACCCACCCAGAACGCTACGAGCACGTATTGCCCTCCGCGCGTATTTCGTTTTTGCAACCAAAGGAAGGCGCTACCCGGATAATGCTCGCGTGGTGCAGGGTGTTCCTTACCAGCACTGGTTACCAGACAAGAAGCCCCCACTGCCACGGAGGAAAGCAGCACACCAAGAATTCGCTGACTGGCCGGCAGAAGAATCAACACTGCCATACAACACGAGGGCAGCAGAAGGCCTGAAATTGGTCATGTTATTGTCAGTATATAATGCAAAACATTCCGGGGATCAAAAGAACAAGTTAAATGCCGAGTTTAGTTGATACCGATAAAATCAGTGCACTTCTTTTTTATTGTTCGTAATTGAACTTACTTATGCCCAGCTCCACACAAACTAGCGCAGTTTGGTTTAAAGCAGGGATGCGGAGCCGTGGAAATTTCAAACGGCTCCGGCTCCGGCTCCGGCTCCGGAGAAAAAAATCGGCTCCGGCTCCGGCTCCGGCTCCGGGTGAAATGTTATGGCGGCTCCGGCTCCGGCTCCGGCTCCGAGTAAAATGGTCCGGCTCCGGCGGCTCCGGCTCCGGCGGCTCCGGCTCCGACTCAGTACATCCCCTATGCAATCAATTAAATACGGGTGGAAGAAAAATTGGATTGGTTATACGCGTTATCCTACTCTTGCCATGACCGGCTCACCGCGTCCCCGCGCAAACGCACCTCGGAGAGAACTGGCAGAACAAAGGACTAGGAAGCGATGGCATTGGAAACGCAGTCGCCGCAAATCGGAGTTCACTGAACCATCGTAAGCTGACACCCATCTCGGCTGCATTGGGGGGTGGGGGGGGGGGATGGGAAGAGACGGTGCTGGGAGTCGCAGTCCACTGCACTGGCTTCAAAACAATGGCCGTCACCTGATGACCGGTCCTCATGTTCTGGGGATGCAATAGACGTGAGGGGGGGAGGAGCAGACAGGAAGTTGATTGCGTACTGTGGGATACTGGGGATATTCGGCTTTTTCATTCACTTGATGGCCCATGACGTACTATTGGTCTCAAGATAAGGGCCCAGGCGACCTGTAGTTTTGATGCGGTGAATATCCTTACCCTCGCCACAACTCGGGCCGAGTGCACCCCTCCTCCCAGCCAGCGCCACCCCCACTCGCATTGTGGCGAGGATGAGGGTATTCACCGCATCAAAACTACAGGTCGCCTGGGCACTTATATTGAGACCAATAGTACGATATGTTTTACTGCCTTGTACTTCTGTCAAACCGAACTAGGTCAATTATTTTTTCCTCTTCAAAAAATAAAAAGGAGCCGGAGTCGCCCCCTTTTTTGGCGGCTCCGGCTCCGGCTCCGGCTCCGGGCTATATTGTTTCACGGCTCCGGCTCCGGCTCCGGCTCCGGGCAAAATATGCCGGCTCCGGCGGCTCCGGCTCCGACTCCGGCTCCGGCTCCGCATCCCTGGTTTAAAGTTTAACATTTTATTTGATATTGACCGTGGGAGCCGAAAACAACACGTACATTTGGTAACAGAAAAACACTAGGGTGACCCACGTGCTCCGCAACGCGAAAAGGGATATTTTCGATCGGCGGGTGTTCGGTTGTTCTTGTGTCGGTTGGGTTATCTATCCATTTCGGTCGATTGCTTTTTGACGGCTAAACGTTTTGGTTTGTGGAAAAAATATCCACCGCATCAAGGTGCCTGTGTCTGATAAGCATGCTTTCCACTTCAGAATCTGTTAAATGTGCTTTATAATTTAGGCGCGTAGTTTTATGACAAATGAAAGGCGTAGATAATTTTCGCTAAAAATCGTTTTGCAGAGGTTTAAAACATTTATATTTTTAAGAATACTGTTGCTTGTCATGCAAACGTGATGATTGGATCTTGGAGAGAATTGAATGCTCTTTCCAATGATAGCATTTTCAATTGTCAAACGTATCAGGTTAACCCGCGCCCTGCTGGGGGGGGGGGTGTTTGAACACCCCCCTTGTGGTTTTTCGCAAATATCTCAAAAACGGCGGCGCGGAGCGCCGCCGTTTTTGGTACACCTTATCATACATCAATTCTACACATGTTGTAAAAATTTCAGACCAAGGTCATTCAAGGTCAGGTCACCAGGTCACTTGAAGTGACCTCACCTCATAAAAAGTTTCAATGTCTGTCATAGCTACACCGAGTGACCGATCGCTTTGAAACTTTCAGCGATTGCTAAGAGCAATAGCATGTACAAAATGTATATCTCAGAATTTTGATATCGATGACCTAAGGTCAGGTCAATTTTGCGACCTCCCCATTATAAGTCAATGGTAGAAAATTGAAATGCGCCTCCTTTGGACGAAAGACATTATAAACCCTCCCAAACACTGAATTACAAGTGGTTTAGACACACTGAACATGAAAATGGTGTCCGTGACCCCAGTTTATGCCCTGAGGTCATCTTAGGTCACGAATGGTATCTAACAGTTTTTCGCAAATAACTTTTGATAGAGGCATGCTAGAGCGATGAAAATGCCTTAGATGTGTTCAGCTCGACGATACGGATCGACTGATATGCAACATGACCCTTTCTGGTCAGGTCATGACCTTGACCTGAGGTCAAATTTTCAAGTTGACCTTTCAAGGTCAAGTTATAGTTCATTCGATGCGTCTTGACGAGAGGAACACGATGCCGGTAAAAGTAAGCTCGTACAATGCTTGGGTCAAAAGTTATTGCAGAAAAACTGTTTCCGAAAAAATCGGCTATTTTTGGAGTTTTTGCCCCCTGCAGGAAAAACCGTTGACGTTAGGTCAAATCTGAGAGAATTACTCAGAAAGGGCGTTAATAGGGCTATCGAATGCGCTTTTCCGCGGCGCTGTAGCTCTATTGGTTCCCGAGTTATGCGTTGGCTTCTTGGAAATTTTCGACATTCGACCTGGAAATCGGCGAAATTTTGCCTTCAATGACCTCTGGTGACCTGACCTTTGACCTGACCAAAAAATTGACCGAAGTGATTTCCTCATTATTTTTGACGCTCTTTCGAACGCCGCCTTCCGCGTATCGCTACGTGGCCCAGGAGCCGAGTTAGAAGGGGGGGTGTTCAAACACCCCCCCCCCCCCCCCAGCAGGGCGTGGAAATCCAGGACCCCCAGCAGGGCGCGGGTTAAGCAGCAAAATCCGTGTAATTATTTAGTGGCACATTTTGGACAAATACCATTTAATTCAGCGATTTTTTCCTCATTGTTTTTGATCAATTAGCTTTTCACAATTTTTCCATGAGAGACGGTACATTTTTATTGCTAATAGGCGCTGTTTCAACTCATTCCGTCTGACGATCACCTGAAATTAATATAAATTCCAAAATCCGTCCAAAACGTCCATTTTTCAAAAGAAAGTGTCCTCCCGGTGCACGTGACACGTGCCAACCCCTGCACCGCACATCATTCGATAGCCCGTTCGATTCTCTACACGATGCTGTTTTCCCCGTACCGGTCGGGCCCACGGTTACCGAGATATTGCACCGGGACCGGACCCGTGTCGGGCAAATTTGGCTGTTTTCGCCCGTTTTTGCCAGCCGATTAATACATGTAAAGTCTATGACGCGAATTTGCACTTTTTGGGCACGCGCCACGCGCTCGCTATCGATCCGATCGAGCTGAGACCCATCAAAGGCACGTTGTCCATCCTTGTTCTATGAGTTGCGCAAACTTCAGCGCGGTAGGTGCAACGGTGTGACCTGTAACCCGCGCTACGTAACACCATGTCGCGACCTTCGTAACGTCACCACAAATAGTAATATAGACAAGCGGCTGCGCCACTTGCTTCGCGGCGTAGCCAGAAAATGCGGCAGCAGCCAATTTGCTTCCGAATGGTGTTTGATTTAAATTGATCTGTCGTCTGGAAGCAGAGCTGTGGACGGAAACGTGCAGAGGAAAATTTTGAACATAATAATTATTCTGAGGGCTTAGGTGGATGAAATTTGGATCATACGGGGTCAATTCAGGTCAAGCTGGTTATCCCTGGTCACACTGGGTTAGGCCAGGTCACCTTCGGTGAGGCCAGGTCGTATAGGTCACCACGTCACATTGGATCGGCCTATACCACACTTCTACTACTTCTACTCATACCACTACTCCTACCACTACCCCTACCACTACTCCTACCACTATCCCTACCACTACCCCTACCACTACCCCTACCGCTACCCCTACCCCTACCACTACCCCAACCCCTACCCCTACCCCTACCACAACCCCTACCACTACCTCTACCACTACCCCTAACACTACCCCTACCACTACCCCTACCCTACCACTACCTCTACCACTACCCCTAACACTACCCCTACCACTACCCCTACCACTACTACTACCCCTACTACTACCCATACCACTACTACTACCCCTACCACTACTACTACTACCCCTACCAATACCCTACTACTACCCCTACTACTACCCCTACCACTACCCCTACCACTACCCCTACCACTACCCCTACCACTACCCCTACCACTACCCCTACCCTACAACTACCACTACCCCTACTAATACCCATACTACTACCACTACCCCTACCACTACCCCTACCAATACTACTACCACTACCACTACCACAACACCTACACCTACCACTACCACTGGGTCATGTGAGGTCACAAACTATCAGATTAACTGATTAACTAAAAAAGAGTTCCTAACCCTTCTCCTACTCGTGTCATTCCATTATTCTTAATCGTATTTGGTTGAAATGGCGCCTAGTGACAAATGTGGCGCATTGCGACAAAAGTGGTGCATTTATTCCTGTCGTTTTGCCATGCATCCTTCCACCGAATTGCACCTTTATCGGACCATATTTGACAAAGTTTTGCGATTTGCGGCAAAAATAGCGCATGTGGACAAATGTGGCGCACTGCGGCAAACGCGGTGCATTCGGTTAAGCGCATTGAAAACTGTCTTTATTTACCGAAAATCGACACCTTCATTCGCCTCTGTTTATCAAAATAAATAACTTGGCCAATCTGCAAATGAGAGGCACCCGCCGCCGATCGTCATGCATTTTATTGTCAAAGGCGATTGAACCCGGCTGCCGATGCCTTGAAGCAAGCTTGAGAGCCGAGCAAAATTTGGAGAAAAAACACCTTTTTCCAGCGCGTGCCACGTGCGACCCATCCACCCCCCGGGACTCGAACCTCGACACTGCACGTGCGCGTGACGTCATCAGAATCAGAATCAGAATCAGAATATATTTCATAACGAATCC